TGGTGAGCCTTTTCTGTATGTATGTATTTGTTCAATACTTTAGCTTATAACCCATACATGCAAAACTACATTCCTGTCAGCCTTAAATGTACTTTATTGTTAATGAACAAATACTAGCATGCTAACATCCTAATGAATGATATTGTAGATGGTAAGCATTACACCAGCTAATCATCAGCATGTTAGTATTAGCATTTAGCTCAAAGGACTGTGTATGTACTACCCCTCACAGCCTGCCTGTCGAGTCTGTCTTGTTTTATCCTAATATGCCCAATGTCACCTATTTGCAGCTCAAACTCGGCTAATATGTCTTTACTCACAGCTATGTTTCTGTTCAACAGACTTTTCTGACCTAGTTTGGAGTCTTGCCTTTATGTCTGGTTTGATTAAGATCAGACACATTAAAAGTATAGCTGAAAGGCTTGTCTCTCCTTGGTTGACACAGGATTTATGCTTGCAACACTGATGTTTCACTAGAACTCGAGAGATAATCACTCTGCATTTCCTCCTCCGTCTACAGTCTTCATTGTGACTTCATTAAAAGATTACAATCTGCACTTTCAGCCATGTTCTTTCTCCGCTTCGTTTAAATCTGTTATATGGGTGAAACGTTATTCAACAAAATATGAGAATAGCTTCTTTGTTATCACGACTGCTCCTTGAGAGAAGTTTGTGACCTACAGATTCTTGCCCTGCTTCCAGTTTAAAATCCCAGTTTTCCAATTTAGGCTTCATCTCTAGAGGTTCTGTTTCCCAGCTGGAGAGAGTCAAGTTACAGTTAGCCCTAAATAACACCTCTCTGTTGGGCTGCAAAGACAAAGAGGTTTCTGTTGTGTGTGATGAGTTACACCCTGCCAGTTACCGACCATGCAGCCCAGTCTGCTGCCCTGCATCACATTTTATTTCTTCCACACACACTTAAACACAACCACAACCACTCACTCCTACTGCTAAAAGAAATGACAGGGAGCGTATAAATCCACACTATGTGTCTTTGCTGTGGTTCTGTTTTCATTCAGGCGGAGTCGGACCTCTCCCATTTCCTTTTCTTAAACAAGATGAGGCTTTATTCCTTTCTGCTGCCTCATGTTGGGTGGATTATTTGTTTATTTGTGTTCAGATGTAAGCTTTTAAATGCGTTTAGAGCTCTTCTGCTGTGTTGCAAAGCAGAGAGTAGCAGGATTGAGCCACAGAGAGAAAAAGGGGGCTGTCAAAGGTCATATAAACCCGGATTTTAACCCACAAAATATGGCTTAGCTTTTCTTAAATATGGGTTCTGTATGTAATTACTCCTCCCTGAAAACTACACCCTCTTTTTCTTTTACCATCATGATGCTTTCTTTTCTTTTTGAGCAGAAACCTAATCTGAATCACTCTCATTTTCTTACTTCTTCTTAGGTCCGATCATTTAAGAACTTGCCAGAATTGTACAAAATATCCAGATAATCTGTGCAGGGAGCAGCGAATACTAAAACATTTGGTTAACCTAATAAATATACGTTTTTATCACTGTGTCATGTATACAACCATTACAAGACACCATCATAGCTAGAAGAACGTACATTTTCAAACCTCAAAATGTCCAAAAATAAACAAAACTAGTTTGAGTATTTGATCAGATTTTCTGAAATGGATAGTATAATTATGAGTATTATTAAAATTTTAACCATCTGTAGGCGACACCAGAATATTTTAGTTATGTTGAGCCATTTCATGGAACCTGCAAATGTTAGCATGTCCAGCTAACTAGCATAGTGCCTACAGTAGTGACCCAGTGGTACTTCCAAGACGAATACTACTACTACTACTACGTCTTCTTAATGGCAAAATGTAACCGGGCGGCCATCATTTAACTGCTATTGTCACCCTCCGAAATATCTGCCGGCTTGTTTGCTCGTGTTACACTCATAGTGCACAGCGTTTTTTCCATACTTGTCTGTGTGCACTCAAAATAGAAGGTGTAAGGACAGAAAGGTGAGACACAACATCTGTCTGATATCAAGGACCCATTGTTTTAAAAAAAAAAATCTGAATTGCGTTATACTGAATATACAAGAACAGAAAGCTTAACAGACGTCGCAACCTCCATGTTTGCAACGGCAACTGAGCAGTTTAGCTAACGGTCAAACTGACACTCTTAAGTCATATGACATATACAATACGGATATCGGCTATGGACTCAAATAGCTGATATCTTGGATCTGATATTTTGTATCTGAAGAATACCAGATGTTAACTGTGCAGGTTTGCTTTTAGATAAGCGAGATGCAACATATGATTCAAGGCCATACTTACGTTTGTTATGCAAAAATGTCCTTATTTTAAATTTAAGAACATTTTCACACCATTTTTCTTCAAACGTGAACGTTCACTTTACATTTTTAACATTTTTCCTGGAGACATACAGAACAGCACTTATATGGTAACAAGCAGCAGCAGGTATTTTGTTCATTTGACCTGACATTATGATTACTATCATCATCACTGCAAAACCCATAACTGTCAGTGTGTGTGTGTGTGTGCTTTTAAGATCTGAAGACGTGTAAACTACTGTAAATATTTACCCATAATGTGATGTTTTTTGGCACGTGCACATTAACCCAACAGACACACACTTAAACATACATTCATATCATGACTTGTTCATGCTGATGAACTTATTCTAAATAATGGAAATGGATCCATTGGTGGATAAATGTGTAAATATTTGTCTTCCCCACCCCCTTGAATGAATTCACGGTATGCTGTCAGTGCATTACACACAAACGCAAGCTTCAAACCGGACCATTTAGGGCAGCGTATGGTGGCAGGAGTGTGCTGTGTGTTTATAGAGTGAAAAGGCCATGTCACTGTATGTGTGTGTGTGTGAAAGGAAAATGCTGGAAGTCTTCTTTCTATCAGGCTGTAAGTGAAGCCACATGCTTGGCGTTCGGCCGTCCAACCTCCTCCTGTTTCCGGCCGTCCTCCATCTTGATTTTGCTCTCTCTTTATCAATCCATCCATTTATCCATGTGTTTAACTTTTGTCATTCATCTCTTATCTAATGTTACGTAACAAAACAAAATTTATCTGTAGCTGTGGCTGTAGATTTTCTTTTCAACAGTTTAATATATGTAATCAATATATCACAATTCCATGTGTGCTTGATTTAAAATTCGTTGTCATTGGTTGAGCCCAGAGTGTTTCGACATGGTTAGTACTCCATTGGACACATTCGGCACAATCTGCCCGGCAGCAGAACTTCAGCACTTGAAGTCGCATCAGAAATATTTTCACGTTCTCTTGGGGGCGATGAGTTCGAGTTAGGACAGGACTGGAAACAGAGAAAAATGCACTGTTGCTGTAGACGTATGATATGAGACAAAAATGTATTTATGAGGTAGGCATGTAGGTCCAAACACAATATTGGGGCCTCTGTATGTCTGTATGACACTTTGTGTGATATGACTGTATATTGTGTTTTAGATTTTCATTGTGTGGAAATGCATGTGACAATATATTCCATGAAACAAGAGAATCTTGATCAGAAACTCTTGAATAAACATGAGCACAAACAGTAGTACACTATAATGAGGCACAAAGATGACCCAAATGTGTGTGATTTATACTATATTTACCAAAATGTATAATATACAGTATGCTGCATATTAGAGCTCAAAGTACGGAGGTTTATCAATGACAAAACTATCTAGCAAGCAGAAGATTTGAGATCATAGACTGGTAAACATAGGACAGACATGAAAAAATATTCTTTGTGTAATAAATAATAATAATATTCTGTCTTTTTTCAAAAACAGTAAACTTCACTTGGAAAATGGCCTTGATTAATTAAACCAGTAGTTCTCAAACTTTTCTCTAAACTGCCACAAATTGGTCCACAGACCCCAGTTTGATAAGATTTTGTCCCTGGGTTGCCCATCTGATAGGACTTTTGCTTTTAGATGTTATATTACAGAAAGTGGATGAAACCTATGACCAAAACAGTCATACATCCTGTCATTGTGTGAATTATGGATGAAATTATAGTGAAAATAAATTAATCCCCTTTTTGCTGTGGAACCCCTGGAGCCCCCTCAAGGACCCCTGGGTGTCCTCGGACCCCACTTTTAGAACCAATGAGTTAAACAACACAAGTTAATCAGTGTCTACAATGTGAGGATTTTCTGCTTTTCATCTTTATAAACTGAAATTTGGGGGGATTTGGACAAAACAAGACATTTGAAAACAAAGTGTGATGGATATTTTTCACTTTTTCCTAACCTTTGGTGGGCCAAACAGCTAATCGTGGAAAATCTCTGCAGATAAATGGATAATCGAAATACTTGTGATTTGCAGCTGTAGGGCAGATTCATTCTTGTTTTGTGGTGATGATTTGCTAAATGCAGTAATTAGAGGTCTCTACTAGTTTTGTGTTCAAAGTGTGCTTCACTCACAGGTGTATGTAGGTAAGATTGTAATCAGCACATCACCAGCAGGGCTTTGCTTTGTCTGCCTTTTGTTTACGTTAGTCACAACACCTGAACATGCAGGAAGATCAATGCACTCACTCACCTTGTGGAGAGATGCTAGAAAAAGATAGAGAGCAGAGAAATGCAGCAGTAAGAATGTGGTGAAGGAAAGGTGATGGTGTGGGAGAAGGATGAGGGTTTCTGTTTTGTAAACGTATCACCACGCCGAGAATCGCACAAATCGGAGGGGTGAGACTTTCAGTCTGTCTTCAGTGAAAAGACAATTTTACAAGTTTTTAATTGGCTGCTTTAGTGTCCCCTTGGGGAGGACCGAGAGAAAACTTCAAGGGAAGGTGGCAATAAATATATTTAACAGTCTCTAATTACAGGCAAGCAGTCATAGACTCAAACTGTGTGGCTTTGTATAATTATCTGTCTGCCTCCACCTGCATGTGGCTTCATCTCTCATGGGTTCAAATGTATATTTTATGCTTGTATTATTAAATATCAATACCAAATATATTTATAGTATTTTCTTCTTCCTTTGTGCAGCACTTCTCCGAGCTCCTAGACGACCTCTCCCAGGATGCCTTGCTGGGCCAGCTTCTCAGCGACCCCTTCCTGTCCGGAGTGAGAGGTGGAGCGGATTCCATGGAGGGGGAGGACGGAGGCGACCTGTCCCCGTCTTCCCCTCTTCCCCCGCACATCAAGGCCGAGCACAGCTACTCGCTCTGCGGCGACAGCCGGCCACAGTCGCCGCTGTCGCACCTGACCGGAGAACAAGGCAGTGAAGCAGGTGAGACACAGACTGTCACTTTAAAGTAACATTATGGCACATTTAAAAGAAGATATAACACAATATAAGTCCAACAAATGAAAAGTTTAGTTCAAGAGGAATAAAACGCACCCTTGCTTAGTTCAAATACACTCATGGGTTTTGCAACTACGACCTCAGTTGATCTGGTATGACTACAAACTTATGGCGATAATCTGAACTTATATTAGATAGATATTCTGTGTAACCGACAGTTTGCTGATGTTTTTTTTCCTACCTGTGTTATTGTTGCACTACATTTTAGCATATAAGCAGGTAGATAGAATAGTTTTCTAATACAAATAAAACGTTAAGTAAAGTAAAGACACTGTACTTCAGCAGGAGATATGTTAGTTGTTTCCTGCTTGTGGCCCTTTTCAGGTCACAAAATACAGCAGCTGACTCATGGGCAATTAGGAGTTGTATGTAATTGATTCATTAAGGGTTTATAATTTATCTTCAAATCTAATGCTTTATAAATCTGCATTAAGTCATTAGTTAGAGCAACATTTCAGTTGGGCTTGATTATTTCTTCCTCCAGCAGACTTATTAAGTCGGCTATAAATGTTATTAAAGCTGTTCAAATGTTATGAAATCATTAATATAGGGTTCTCATGTGACAAGCGTGCAGTTGTATTTATTTTTAAGTTGTTAATAAATTGATTTAGCCTTTCCAGAAGTGGTCAAACTGCCCATTTGAGGGGTTTACTGAGACAGACAAGTTATAATGCAACTACAGACTTGACTGGCCCCTTTTTATTTAATTACATTTATATCTGTATTATTAAATAATTGTATCATGCTGGAGGAGGAGACACACCAGCCAAAGGGATTTTTCACAACTTCAAAACTCAATTAATTGTATTATTGGAGTATTACTGATCTATAAGGCATTAATACATCATTTATTAACCATTAATTAAGCAACTAGTTACAACATAAAAACCATTTCTAAGATATGCATTATTATTATTACTATAATTATATTGCATTATTACATGCATTTTCACTTGTACATTTGTTTAGCTTTATTTAAACATTATTTCTCTTCATATTTTCAGTGTATTGCTACTGTTTGCATCTGTTTCGGGATATATTTTATGTTTCATTGTACTGTTATTTACTGTGTCAATAAAGCTGAATCTAATGTAATCTAAATATAAGGAAGTGTGACCCAAGATTTTCTAAAACGATAGAGTCAACTAAGTCCTTGCACACCTTTAAAGTCCCAATGGCAGGTGCACAGGACTGAAAAATACGTAAACAGAGAAGGAATGGGGCCAATTAATTTAATAATGATTGCAGGATTTTTTACTTCTTCTCAGTTAAAAAAATGCTGATTTATAAATAGTCATTGGTACAAGAGGATCAAAACATAAACTATAGAACATGAGTCCTTCAGACTGGAGAGGTGTATTTCAGATGGTGAAATGTTTAAAAAGGAGTCAATTTAAAATCATCAGTTCATGTCGCCTCTTCTGCAACAGAGTCCGATGGGGATTCAGCTGATTGGCCTATGGAGCAGGAGGAGGCCATTGACAGCATCCTGTGTGAGACTCCTTCCCTCCTCCCCACCCTGTCCCTCTCTCTGGCCTCAGGGCCCCAAGCACCTGGGCCCCAAGCACCTGAGGTCCCTGTTGTGGCCCCTGCTGCTACCGCGACCCCAACTCAGACCACAGTCAACAGCCACAACCAGGCCAAAGGCATCAAGGTGGGGGGACTACTAATGATGGGTGTTGTTGCTGTTCGTTACCTTGTCTTCTGTCTCTTGTTATATTTCCTGTCACTGTTTCTCTACAGATAAAAGAGGAGAATATCATCCCCCAGATAAAACTGGAACCTCATGAAGTGGATCAGTTTCTCAATCTTTCACCCAAAGGTCAGAAATTTCCCTTACCTCCTCTTGCTTCACAGCTATCTGACGCTGCAACGACCCCTGCAGGCCATTTGTTCACATACCTCATTATGCCCTTAGACTGCAAAATGGCACGTGTTGATAAGATAACGATGCAGTGGTTTGTTTTTAATCGTAGTATCAATAATAAGGCTTGAAGAGGCAGAGGAGTATGTGGCCAGCTGCATGAAGCATCTTTAATCAGGAATTTCTTTATTTCTGCTTCTCTTGCGCTCGTTTTCTCTCGGGGTGAGACAAAATGAAGCAGAGCTAATCAGTTTAACCATGGTGCTTCAGGTCTGGAGTCGCTGCAGATGCCTCCCACTCCTCCCAGTTCCCACGGAAGCGACTCGGAGGGCAGCCAGAGTCCTGTCCACGCCCCGCCCAGCTTGTCCTGCCCCACTTCCCCCCAGCCCTCCTCCATCGCAGGCCAGCCTGAAGGTGTCACCTCGCGCTGCTTCCTGCCTCTCCAACTCCCCTCTGCTCACCGCTCCTCATGTAAGAATGACCCATAAACCGGCTTCATTTGTTTTAACTTAACTTTATTGTCATTGTACATGTACAACAAAATTGGATGCTATCCAATCAGTGCAACATCAGTCAAGTGCAAACAGGTATCTAAATATAAAAGAGCCTCTTAAAGTAGCTATAACAATATAAATATAATATAAATATAAAAAAAGAAAGAAGATTCCTAAAGGTAAGTAAAAACGCACGACATTCATCTCCATAATATTGCATTATTCAAGTAATGTTAAGTGCTGTCATGGCTTTTGGATAAAAAATGTTTTTCAATCTATTTATTCTTGTTTTATTAGTCCTAAAACGAGAGAGTGTCCGGGGTGGGATGGATCTTTTAATGTCTTTGTTTGGGGGAAGAAAAGAAGGAATACTGTACAATTTATGTTTTTGAGTAGGTAGGTTAGGTTATAGAGTGACATTGAGCTTTGTAATTCTCTTCTGCTACATAGCAGATAATATATGTACATTAATATAGAAGCAATTATAAAAATGGTAAACCGAAATAACAAAATATAATATATAATGACAATAACAATATTCAATGATCAGTGGAGCAGTGCTGAGGATGAATTAGAGTTGAAGAGTTTGATAGCTTGGGGGGGAAAGCTGCTCTGCAGTTTGGTGGTGTGGCAGCAGAAACTATATCTCTTCCCAGAAGGCAGCAGGGTGAACAGGCTGTGGCTGGGTGGGTGGGTCCATTAGTATCCTTTGAGCTCTGTGTAGGCACCTCACCTCACCCATATCACTGATGCTCAGGGGATGGGTACCAATGATCTTCTGAGCAGCTGCAGAGCCTTACAGTCCTGGGTTATAATATACAGCAGTGGTGATTTCTTTGAGCACAAGTTACCTGTTAAAATATAGAAATCCGGCTGTATGTACAACACACACAGAGTGCGCTCCATGTGCTCTATAAATATGGTTCAAATAAAAAATGATAATAACCAGTCTGCATTGTCACATGCTTGTATGACAAGAAATTTGGTGTCATTTCCTTCTGTTCTTGCTCCACAATCCAGGTGAGTTTCTTGTGAACTTCTTTTCAGTTTCTGTTTTTATCATATAAATACAGCAGCCTCCCCTTGAGTTTAGATTTCTGAAACTTGATACAGAACTTTTGTTCAGGATACGTCCACTTACTGTATTTGGAGTAATGAGAGAGACGTGTACTTTCACCAAATGACTGCCAATAATGAACCTTTTTTTCGCTGTTGTAATCCATCTTCTTGTCTCTTCAGTAGCTGGCTCCAGAAAACATTTTATAGGTCATAAATATTGAATTTCTCCTTTCTTGTATGTAGAAACTGCAGGGGTCGGGCCCGTTGATCCTGACTGAGGAGGAGCGTCGCACGCTAGTGGCTGAAGGTTACCCAGTTCCCACCAAGCTGCCGCTCACCAAAGCCGAGGAGAAGGCGCTAAAGAAGATCCGCAGGAAGATCAAAAATAAGGTATAAATTACTGTCAGACAGACACATCAGGCCAGTACATCACCATCCATAATATTTATCAAAAAACAATGATCAGTAAGTACCACAAATACGTTGTTTCAGTCAAGTGATTCATTTTGGAAATGCTGTTTGAAGAAGTGTAAGCTCTGATAAGAATAGGAGATGAAAAAAGGTGCTTAGTGTCTATACTTGCAAAAAAAAATGTAAATTCTATATACTGTTCACCAAATAACTGGGAGAGATGTTGACCATGTTCTTCTCTGTCTGTCTTAGATTTCAGCTCAGGAGAGTCGCAGGAAGAAGAAGGAGTACATGGACACCCTGGAGAAGAAGTAAGTCTTCCTGCCCTTCCTCATTCTTTCATCATATCAGAGAGACTGGGATATAAAAATGGCTGAATTACTCAATCTGCATATTGACTTTTGCTCGATTTTCTGATCATTTTATTCATTAATGTCTCATTTAGATTTACTGCAACTCCATTACTGATTTTTCTTTCATTGAACAAAATATATCATCTAATCATATCCTGTTTTATGAGCAAACGATGAACCAAAGATATTATTGTAATTAAGAATTATGTATTAAACATGCAAGTGTGTGCAGAGTAAAATCAGCAGATTGTAATGTGACAAAGGGAAACTTGGTCAAACTGCTAAACGGTAACTGAAAATATTGTAAGAAACAAATTAAAGAAACATATGTTAATCATCCAGTCATGCCAGATTGATATATGAAAACTAATCATTGTGTGAGAGCAGCCATCTCCAGTCAGTGACCCTGTAGTACCCCTTCTGACCACAGGGTGGAGACCTGCTCCAATGAAAACAACGAGCTACGCAGGAAAGTGGAAACTCTGGAGTGTACAAACAAGTAAGAACAATCACAGTCAATGTACAGCGCACACATATTATATACACATGTATTTAAGTACATATGTACACAAATATGTATTTTATTGGAGACATTCGAGTAAGAAAAGTTCAGGAAGTCTAACAATAAGACTGTTTAATAGCTAGAATATCTACTTTCCTACATAGCTGTATCATGTCAGCAAAACAGGTAATAATCAATACAAAAAAATTGTGTATTTCCTGATGAAACTAGGTCTATTTATCTTGTTTTCTCGCAGTAAATGGATGAAAAGCGCATACGGTTTGTAGGAAAACACCAGAAGTATTTATAGATTTCAGTCAGTCGTGACACAGATGAGTGAGCTACAGGAGTGGTGACAAGTTTGACTTGTGTCAAATGATTCAAGAAGCTGACGATCAAAACACCGGGAAATTAAGAAGGGGTTGATTCAGACCTAAAAACCTCCCTACCTGGATTCGAGCATGCCTTGACACAATTTTATATTACCCCCCTTTTTATTTTTACAATCCTTTAAAAGCATTTGTTTTTATCACACATTGCAGTGTAGCTGGGAGGAACAGCGAGGATGTGTCAGGAAACACTTTATTATTCACAAATGACGCTGAATCAAAAGCTTCCTGTAGATCTGTCCAGATGCAATTTTGCATCCGTGCATAATCATGAGGCTATTTTAATGTAAAATGCTCAAGCTGCTTTAACTAGACTGTGTTGTTTGCTCTCGTTATGCACGGATGAACTGTGTGATTGTGTGTGGGATGAACCCAGTGAGCGCAGTGTCGTATAGCCTGGAACACACAGCTGTTTTTGGGTCTTGTTTTCCACTCAGTGGTTAAAGTGGGCTTTATCGTCACTGTCTGAAAGTTAAATGAACCAGGTGTGTGTGTGTGTGTGTGTGTGTGTGTGTGTGTGTGTGTTTTGACACTGGTACACCTGGATAATGTGCATGTCTTGTTGGGAGACTTTAGCTGCCTGTTTAACGAAGCAAACAGCAGAACAAAACCTCTGCTGAATATCTGATGCATTTGTTCTTGCGTATACATGTCGCTTTGTTTCCATATTAATGGTTGTATGTGCAAAAGATGGTGGTGAAAGGTGATGGGAAATATTTTACTAAAAATAAAAGGTGTCAAAATTTTCTATTGCAAATCCTGCATTAAAATCCAGAAATGACTAGATGATGTTTCACACTGAAACTAAAATTATCATTTTAATGTTGTAACCGGACAGCACAGACCTACATTTAACTATTTTATGAGTTGTTTAATCTACGTGCACCACATTTGACAGGTTTTGTATATTAAAATAAAATCTACAACCAGTAATTAACCAGTAACCTTTTCCAGTGAGGTATAAATACCTAAAAACTGTAAGTAATGTACATGAGTAAATGTGCTCAGATACTTTTGACCAGTGGAGACGTCCACATTCAAAGCTCTAAAATGTTTTATTTTGCATCACCACACTTCTGAGAGCGACCAATAACAACTTTCAGATAGCTGAAGTAGAAGGATGAACAGCACAGGGTGGTGATGCAACATTCAATTGGATGTGATTTATTAGAAATAATAATAATGTTCATAATTACAGCGTCATTTAAGTGATTTCCAGAGAACGAAGAATACAGTGCAATAGGAAGACATAGGATAATATTAGAACAACGTAAAATGAGTAAAATAAACAATAAAGATAAGATAAAATAATCAAATAATCATAACAAGCCAGCAGATAAAAAATGTATTTCTTTTTAAAAAGAGTTGTTTCATGCTCTTTCAGTTGTCCAAGATCTAAGATCAAAGGAGCAATGTTTGGGGACCTTCTCTAGATTTCTGGTGCTCTTTAACATCAGCTTTTTACAGAGGGAAAAATGCCAAAAAAAGACACAAAATAAAGAAGAGATACTCCTTATTAATCTTAATTCATGTTTTCTGTTCCATTGTCTGCTTTTGCTGATAATAAGTGGTGTCTCACTTCTCAGAGTTCACAGTATCACAACCCCCCTAAACCCTAAATCAGTCCAACAGAGAGACACAGTACTTTCAGTGCTGTTCTCTCACTAGTTCTGTCTTTACTCGATATTTCTACTACTTACTAAAGAAATCTACATAAACACAAAAGGAACACATTTAATCATTTGAAACTTCTGTCATTCTAATTTCATATTATGACATTTTCAGCTCATGTGCATCTGTACAGGATATCAGCTCTGCGCGTGTCTGCTAGTGTGTATCTAACCTGTGTGTTTATGTGTGTGTGTGTGCTCCTCTACAGGTCCCTGTTACAGCAGCTGCAGTCTCTGCAGGCGGTGGTGGCAGGAAAAGTCCCCAAGTCCTGCAGGGTGGCTGGCACCCAGACATCATCATGTCTAATGGTACGTGTGTGTGTGTGTGTGTGTGTGTGTGTGTGTGTGTGTGTGTGTGCGTGTGCTAACAGGAGATTGTGGTGAGGAAACATTGATTAAAATATTGAATTGGAAACATCTGCTTCCATCATTTATTAGCATCTTAGCATTGATTCATAATTTATTTTCTCTCTCTCTCTCTCTCTCTCTCTCCCCCCCCACCCCCCGTAGGTGGTTGTGTTGTGTTTCGCTCTGTTTTTGGGTAGTTTCTACCCCAGCAGTTTAAATCCGTGCTCCAGCATCACTGCAACTGGCCTCGTCTCCAAACAGGTGGCTGTCAAAGAGTCCTATACAACCACAGGTAGTTACACCGACTCATACTCTGTATACTAACTATGCACATGTTGCTCTGCTGTCATACCCACAACATCAACAAGAACTTTTGTGTAGCACTTTTCTTAACAACAAAGGACAAGAGAGACAGTTATATTGTTAAAAAAAAAAAGTAAAACCAGATAAATGAGATAGCAAGGAAATTAAACAGGCAGGAACTGCAGAAGTAAATTAACTAGTAGCTAAATCTGCTACAATACAGCTCTTCTTCTTTATGTAGTTCTATAATAACCCACAGAGCATTGTTACCCAACATTAACAGTTGCACTTTGTGTGAAAGATGTATTGTGTAATTGTCACATTTAAGTTGACATTTTGAATGATATAGAAATACTTTTTAATTGAAACACAAATACATAAATGCATGAGAAAGGGTACCAAAGAGTTGCATATTATTCAAAGTCCACACACACACACACACACACAACGAGAGTCACTTTTATAGAGATTTCCGCTAAACTGACCTGCTGTTCCATAATTAATTATTTATTCCCGGCTATGAAACGGTGGCGGTCCATTATAACATTGCCAATAATCACATTCCACCTACAGCGCTGCAATAACAGCTACAGAGACTGATTACAAGAGTTGACCTTTTACTGCATCCTCTCTACTACCCCCCCCCCCCCCCCCCCCCCCCCCCCACACCACACACACACACACACACACACACACACACACACACACACACACACAAACAGACAGGCTGAACTGTTTTCAAAAGGCTAGGCAATAACATGTGGTGCTACAATGTGAAGTGTGTGTGGGATAGTGTGAATTTGTGTGTGGGCTCCCGTCCACGACTGGTGTCACTGGGTGTGTTCAGCCTGAAAACGTATTATCCTGTTTAAGATACAGGGAGCACAAAGTTGCAGTGTCTCTTAAAGGTTCAGTGTGTAATATTTAGGAGGATCTATTGACACTATGTTTTCAGTGGTAAATAAAGACCGTACATAATAAACCGTTTTTATTACCTTAGAATGAGCCATTTCTGCCTACATACCCTGCGGCTTCTCTTACGTTGCCAAGTTGCACCGCTACAGTAGCGCAAACGGACAAATGGCTCTACAGAACGCGTTTCATCACTACGTTGGATACGTATGAAGAAGAGGAGAAGTATTAGTAATAGCAGTAGTAGTCGAGTCGTTTATTAGAAGGAAGAAGATGAGTTTTTTGGACAAATGGAGCTTGTCGGCCACTGTAGCTTCTCCTGTGCGCTTGGAAAGGGAGGGGTGAGCAGTGACTGATTCATGAATTTTCATTCATTGAATTTTTTTTATTTCCTCCTAAAATGTTTATGGCAAAAAGAGGAATAAAGTGTACATGGGACATAAAGAAGTATACAGAACAGTTTACAATTATATAAGAATAAATAGAAAAAAGACACAAATAATAAAAACTTTATATAAGATAAAGATATAAAAAGTTGAAAGTTGAAAGTTTTCACAGCCTTTTTGTTGTTGGGTTTTCAAATGAAATTGCTCTGATAATGCTAATCCAACAAATCCTTGTAGTAGCGTCCGTTTTTTGAATCTCTTTCAGTGAAGTCGAGGAGTCTGTTATCAACCTTCGAAGAGGAGCAGCCACACCTCCTCGGTCTGGGCGGAGAATATCCAGAGCAATGGGAGGACACGCCAGCCGTTGTCATGGCAGCGTGGCGCCGCTCAGAGCAACAGAAACTGGTGGTGGAGCCCGACAGGGTGGAAACGCACCCACCTTTCAGGAGTACAAGCAATGATACACAGACATCAAAAAACCCGCTGCTGGACCTGCACAGGTAAACACACACAGACACAACAGAAGAAGAACTGGGTAGTTGGCATGAGCAGTGATAGCAACACAAAGAAAGAGCGCCACCTACAGAGACTCAACGCTCCGACTGGAACTGGACCCAAATCAGACTATTTTTTTATTTTGTCTTAAAAACTACAACGAATTGTTTTCAGTTATGATTTAGGATGTACGGTATATTTAGTCCTACATTTATCATTTCAGAATTCATGTAAACTCTGACAGATCCATCCATCCCCGGTGTCACAACTTCAGGCATCTAAGCCACCATTTTATTTAAAAAAAAACACAAAAAACAACATACTTTTTTTTTAGCATTACAATCTTTGTCAAGAATTTGTAGCTGGCCTCCACTGTACTCTGAAGAAAGACAGAAAATACTCCATGCATGATAGCAATTTAACAAAAATTCTCTTGGCACTTTAGGGCTTTCAGGGTCAACATAGCCTAATCTGGGGATGGGCAACACCAAAAAGTTGGTTTGATCTGATACCAAGTCAGGGATCAAAATCAGTACCAATACAGATACCAATAAGTTTTTATTATTAAAAGTGGAGAGAGCCCTGTCATGTCGGGAACCCACCTCTCATCTTTGTCTCTCAGGTCTCTGGAGCAGATGGCGAATGAGAGCAGTAGTAAAGTGATAGAGCTGGAGCGAACGGTCAACGAGACCTCCTGAGGTTCATGTCAACACCCCACTACCCCATCCCACCTCCCCATAAACCCCATCATGACCTTTGACCTTTCTCCCTCTGGAGCATGGTTCAGTGTCCTGGAGCTAAAAACCTCATACAGTAGTTCCCACTGCTGATTGTTTAAGGTCATTTTTTTTCCCTGCCATATCTGCTTTATCAGATACACTGTAATAGTAACAATGTATAATTATGATAATAATAATAACAAAAGGGCACTGGTTGCCCTAATTTCAAAAATAAAGTTGCACTGAGTACAGTACATTTTTATATAAATCAACGTATCAGTTGTATCTGTTGTCTTAATTGAAAGACTGTTTAAAAAAAATCACATTGTGATAAATTTAAATGGATAGTAAAAAATGCTACGTTGCATTTATTCCAGTGAAAAGTATATTAAAATATGACACGTGAGGCTTTTTACAGGACACTGACGGAGAACCAATGTATTTATAGAAATCCTTTTTTTTGCTCTTTGTAGTTGTATTTCTTTTAATATTAATTGTTTTTATTCTATTCTACATCACATTTTTATACTTTGCGTTCGTATTGTATTTTGTGTCTTTATTTTATTGTACTCTTTTATGTATTGTTATATATTTTCTTCATTTGACTTTACGTTTCAAACATAGCTTAGCTCAGGGTTCCTGCGCTCATTTGGAAAACTGTTAAACTCTATTTGTTAAAAGTTATATAGACTGGCAGCGAAAAAAAAAATTCTGTGTGGTTTTGATGAATCGTTTTCAAACGATTTCGTGAAGCTGAAAACTAGATGTCATATTCATCAACACACCCGTGAGCACCATGAGATGTTGAGTCATCTGCAGCTGCAGTAAACTCAAATCTATGAATACTGACTGAAATGTTTAAATCCAGTAAGAATGTTATCAAATTTGACATGTGGGGACCCTGTTAGCAATGCTTCAGACATTTTTTCCACCATATGATGGTCACTGAGTCAATATGAGATTTATTTTCTGCGAAACCGTTTTTGTTTTGGTCATTAAAAGCATCTTAAGGAGGCTACTTTTTTCACGTTGCTCTTACAGCTTTTGTTTGCAGCCAAGCAGCAAACTACAGCTCAAAATAACTGTTATGCATCCCATAATGTTGTCATTCCTTTAAGGAGTAATTTGACTTTTTAGGAAATATGCTTATTTGCTTTTTTGGCCGAGAGTTACATGAGAGGACCGATACTTTTCTCATATGGGTACTTTCAAAATTAAGTTACAGCTACAGAGGGAAATAAGCTAGCTTGGTAAAATAAATACCTACCAGCACCTCTAAAGCTCAGTAATGAACAAATAAGATAGATAAAGCATATTTGTTAATGAGCTGTAGAGGTGCTAGTAGACTTTAGACAGGACCAGGCTAGCTGTGTCCCCTGTTTCCAGTCTTTGTGCTAAGCTAAGCTAACCGCCTGCTGGCTGCAGCTCCATATTTAGCGTAGAGACATGAGAGTGGGATCGATCATCTCCTCTTAACTCTTGGCAAGAAAGCGAATAAGCATGTTTCCTCAAATGTCAAACTATGTCTTTTTCAAATGTGTTACGGAACCACAAATTCAACTTTCCTTTTTTGGCCTTAAATCCTACGATGCTTTCACTCAGTTCAGTCAGTTCTACTATCTCTCAGCATTTGCCAAAAAATTCTTCTCAGAAATGAAAGAAAGAATCTATTTTTGTAAATATGAGTTGTTAATAAATACGGAAGTCTAAATGTGTCTGGGATCTGCAGTTTATAAACCAATCTATAATTCATTTTGCGTCTAGCTTGGATGCTGCGTTGTTGATAAATAATGAATGTAAGATGCCTTTGCTTCACAGTTTGTTAATTTAAGATCATGGCTTTAAAAGTATTAGTTGTCCATTTCAAGTGTATTACAGATGGGTTTTAAAATTTCGAAACTTTATTGAAACGTATGTTACAGATCTCTTAAACCAGATGTGAGGCTAGTTCACTTTCTGTTCATCCATGTTGTAAATAGAAACACCCCATTTGTAAAAATAAATAAATAAAAAGCTTACTCTCATGTTGTAAAATCAACTGTAAAAAGTGAAGTTAGTTGAGCCCAGAAACGTAAGAAATTTTATTTTGTAACTGAGGAGGAATCAAACTGCCAACAGAAATGGATCCCATTCCGGTTAAGAGATTAGAAAACGGTCTCATTTTAAGCTTTGTAGATCAGTGGCTAGATCATCAAAGATTTATTGTTAAATCTATTGTTAAATCTATATGTTGTCAGGATGCACTGATGTTAGTCTTTGCTCCAAGGTAGCTGTAAAGGCTCACCAGGAGAGATCATATGTTTATGTTTTGACATTTTAATGGAAACTTCTCCTCTAGTTGAGACTGAAACTAGCAGCCAACGGAGTTCTTGCAAATCTTCATTTCCATGTTGCTCCTGTGTAAATCCACTCTGTCTGTCTCTTTGCTTTCATTCCAATGAATAAAGTATTTTCCTTAGTAAAAGCATATTATGTGTGAATGCGTGTGGTCTGTTCATAACATTTAAGAAAAACAAGCTGTTACAGTAGTTTTTTTTTAACTTGGGGATAATGTTCGGCCTCTCTTAACAAAAAGTAATGATACTTTGATGGTACTTGCTATGGGACAAATTATGTACCATGATGACAATCTTAACAACTATTGGATGGGTACAACCATAGACCGTATATAAAAAGGTACAGGCATTCTTAGTGTTGTAGTACTCAAGACTTAAGACCACTTTTTGATGGTCTTTGTCTCGTCTTGGACTCGACCGCATTTGTACTCGGTCTCGGACAGTGAGGACTCTGGATTTTATTTCAAGACCACGACTTTGGGAATATCAATAAATTGCTTTTGCATTGTCTGATTTATTTGTTAACATCCTAAACTTTGATTGGATGTAAAACGTATTGCTTCAAATGCAACCAATAACGACCAATAACCGTTACTCAAGTGTACAAATTTGAGGTACATGTACAAAAATCAGGCGATTAGTAATAATATAATAATGTTCGTTTTTGAAAAGAATGGTACAAAGTGCTTTCTCAAGACCAAAGAAAATAAAACACAGCAAACTAAATAAAATACAAGGTAAAAGTTATACAGGATACAAGAAGAATGTTATGAAATACAGCTAAAAGAAAAATAGATAATTAATTAACATCATCTAAAATCAGGAAAGGCTCTTCTATGAAATTAGGTTTTAAGAAGGGACTTAAAAGAGTTCACTAGATGAGCCCTAGATGACTTCCGAAAATGTCTTGTTTTGTCCACAACCATAAAGACATTCACTTTACTGTTCTGAAACCAGAAAATTTTCACATTTTAGAAGCTGAAATCAGATATTCTTTCTTCAAAAAATGACTCAAACCAGTTAATCGATTATCCCTACATTGCAGTAGATTAAACTACCCAACAGGATATAAAGGAGTTAAAATGATCTCAACCTTAAACATCTACAGCAGAAAAATGCAACATACACATAATAATGCAGCAATAATATAAATCCAGAAACCTCAGATGTAAAAGTGAAACACTGACAGGGAACATTTTGCTGTACTTTTTCTACTTTAAGTATATTTTTGCTGATATTTCTTACATCATTCTGTGAAAGCAGGACTTTTTTTCAGTGTGGTATTAGCACATTTACATAAGTTAAGAATCTGAATACTTATTCCACAGTTGCGTTTATCTCAGGGCACTGATGAGTTTAAGTTTTGCCTCAAAAAACCTCAAGACGTCATTACTCTCCAAAGCGCACACAAGCGCTTTGTCATGTTTTTCTTCATTTATTTAAAATCAAAGGTTTAAAAATGAATGGGGATGGGGGAGAATGGGGATTGTATCGTTTCTACTTTAAGTTCAAGCAAAATAACTGCAACACATGCCCAAAATATAATGTCTACTTCAGTGGATGATAAATAGTTGTTGTTAGCTTCAAAGCATTTCCTGTGCAGCTTTAAATTAAGTTAAGGCCAAACTCCATTAGGATAGAAAGGCGCCTCGTGGTTAACACACTGGCCTATAGAGGAACTTCTATGTCCCCCATCATGACAAGGATCTTAAAATAGGTCAGCATAAGCGTCTCATAATAAGTAGTGCGAATTGCTCCGACAGTCCCGAGACAATACACAGTCCCACAGCTTCACAACAGTCCAGTCTCATAGTAACACAGCAACAATGAATTCCTTTACTGCTCCAGTTATGGTGCATCGTGTTTGTCATAAAGTCGATGTTAACAACAGAACAGACTCTGTTGATTCTGTATGATGAAATATTAGTAACACAGTCGGTAAATAGATCCAGGAGCTGCAATCTGATTTCACTCTTTGATTCGGGGTTGCTGGAGTTTTCAGGCGCACACAGCTTGTTAATTATGAATGAAAAATCCTTTCATCAGAGCTGACAGAGAAAAGTTTCTGCATTATTTTCTGTGTGTTCTGGTGTGAGCCTCATCTCATCAATTTTAAAGATTACATTTTTGAATTGTGTTTTTTTTTTTGCTTGATCCTGTTGAAGCCCATTCCTGCAATTTCTCCTATTTATGCTAAATGAAGTCACAATTATGAGCCATTATGTCAAAATCATAAGATAAATTGTTGACATATAAAATGCCAAATGCCATATTATATAAATAAGAGATACTGAGTCAAAATATTTATTTAAGTAAAAATTATGAGATCTTAAGTCAAAATTGAAAGGTCTTTCTAATGTTTTAGTTTTTGTTCATCCCATTTACATACATGAGGTGGGCCAGAATATTAGAAACACCTGAATAAAATGTAGTCCATTATGAGACCTCCTTTAACTGTGACATCAATAATAAACATATAATTGAATTTATGTCCCTCAATGTCACATAAAATGCAACTTTATGAGCTTTGAAGTTACGGCAGAGCTGTTGTATTGGACTGCATTAGTTTGTACTGGTGTACCTAATAAAGTGACAATCTTATTTGCTACCACATATTTCTATTTTGTACTGACATTAAGTTTCTTTAACATCTGACCAAAAATGTTGTGACAATGAAAAAGACATGCAACTAAATTGAAGTTATGACAATATCATCACTAAATTGACTGCATGTTAGTCAGTAATCTCATGTACAGTCATGCAGTGTTGAAAGTAACTACACATATTTACTGAGGTACTTGTACGTTGGTTTAGTATTTCCATTTGTACTTCTATTCACACACTTCTACCACATTTCAAAGGGAAATATTGCACTTTTTACTCCCCTACAGGTATCTGTCAGATGTATTTATTTTTCAGATTATTTCAGAAATTTTTGTATTGAAAAATGTTTATAAAATACAATACAAGATTAAAGCAGTGGCTCCCAGCCTCAGAATCAGAATCAGCCAGGTATGTGTGCACATACGAGGAATTTGACTCTGGATTGTACATTGCTCACGATCTGCTTACTTATACAAGAATACAATAATAAAATCAAACACAGGCTACAGTATAGAGAACTCATATATACACACGCGATAAACAAAAACAATATAGACAGATTGAGACAATGCAATGAGCAGAGTGCAAAGGATGCAGGAGTGAATTGTTATTACCATTATAATTATAATTATTATGCACATATGGATGTGATATACAGGTGCACATACACATATATACATACATGTACACAGTGTGATGGAGCACAGTGCAAAGGATGCTGGAATAAATAAGTATTATGTGCAGGTATTGTTTACTTGAGGTAGGTGGGTTGGGTATCCAGTATATACAATATACAAAATGTCTATATGAACAACTCTGAAATAGAGAATGATTAAGAAAGTGGTAAACAGTAAACAGGTGGCTGATTAGAGGCAGAGTTACAAGTTACAAGTGATGGCTTGCAAAAAACCTGCATTGCTTTGACCTATTACGAAAGAATCAGGGTCTAGTTGGGACTCCTTGACATGTTTCAAACAGATTTGTGTATCAGCACTTTATTATTTCCTCTTTTTCTCGGTCATTTATCATCTTACAACCTCTTAGATTTATTTTACCACCTTTTGGAGGGTCCCCACCCCGAGACAGTAAAATGCTGCGTACACATTGAAGTGTAATCAATGTAATTTATTATAATATATCACTCACAAGGAGCATTTAGCTGATAGTACTTACCTATTTTTACTTAAGTAGGATTTGAAATCCAGGACTTTTACTTGTAATGGAGTATTTTTACGTTACGGTATTGGCACGTGGTACGTGGGTTGTGTTTTGTGATTGCAGACAGATGCTCCCCTGCAGTCACACATGGTACAGAGAGGTCACCTCAGGTCAGCGGTGCCCCTGTGAACACGATGCCTCAGTGCAGTGAACTGAAAAAGGACACTGACACATTTGGGCCTGATGCAAATGACAGTAAAGTGAGAATATTATCATCATGAAAAATGTGACACACAGAGCAGAGCATGTGTTTGTGATTAGTGAGGTACCGAGAGGCTGCCTGTGTGTTTGTGGGTGTGTGCTCACCCTCTGCCCTACTTTCTGACTGATGATGCTGCAGAAAGGATGAGGAGAGGGAATATCCCATAATGCCACACTGCTCGTCCCATGGGCCAGATGGATGGGTGGATGGATGGACACAGACTGACAAGCGTTCAGATGGATGGATAGATGGATGGACGCTGCGTTTAGTTGTTGTCTGCACACATTGAACGTGTTTATTGTCGCCGCCCTGACAGAAGATCGCGCTTTCGCGGTTTTTAAAAACCTCTCCTGTCAACAAAAAATCAAAAATCCAGCTTCCGGTTATAGAAATGTGAAAATAAAAGCCTGTGATATAGTTATTGGGTGACGCTACAAAGTTCTACAAACAGTGGAGATCAGTTACTTGCAAGGTTCAAGGTTCAATTTGTTCATCCATAAAAACATGGAAACTATATAAAATATATGTATCAGTATAATATATCAATATATCAGTTTTATATTTTATTTTGTATTTTATATTTATAGCCTATTTTATTTGCTGCATTGTTTTATGTATTAGATTCTATTTCGATTTTGTTCCACTTATTTGACTTTTTGTTATACATATCTGTAAGTGCACAATTGAGGGAGCCTGAGATCTCAGAGTTACATTGCCGAATCCTTCCGTGCAATTGCCGTGTACATGACAATAAAATAAGTTGAACTTGTGCATTTATATAGTAATATTATGCTCTTTATAATGACTTTGCTGTCTGAGATTATGGAAAATTTATAATTATTTTTAGAAAAATCACTAATTTAAGAGATACAATTGTGGTATAAAAGATGTTGAGCTTGAGCCCACAAATAAATCTAAAATCTACAGTTTTTTTTGTAAACCTGTGAAAAAAATGTGTAATTAAAAATTCAAATTCATGAAAGTGTAGAAAAGATGTGTAGGCTAGCTGTCAAAAAATGAGAATGTGTACATAAATTATATCAATAGTGAGGTTACACAATGACTCTGAGGAATAAGAAGTGCTTTCTTATCCATCTCATCTGTGATAACAGTGTAAACTGACCATACATATGAGAGCATACGATTTAAAATAGGTCAAACTTTTCATTATTAACTGCAAACATTTCAACATTGTTGTTGCTCTGCCAGTTGTCATTTGTCTTTTATTTTGAAGGGGAAGAAACCCCACTTCCTTGGTGACGTTGGTAGCTTGACGTTGCTCCCTGCCAGTTGGTCAGTGGCTCGTGAGTGCAGTTCGGTCTGTTGTCCAGGCGGCTGCGCGTGCTGCTGTCCCGGCTGCAGTATATAAACGCGGTCAACGGTCAGAAATTAAAACGGTCGTGCTGCTTAAAGCGTCAACCGTCTGTAATTCATTCCCCCAAACCTTTCTGCTCTCCTCTCCACCACCGGCATCCGTGCCCCCTCACAAGCCGGGGGAGAGGGGGGGTCCAGCGCGGGGGCTACACAGCATGGACCCCCAAATGAAGGACCGAACCAGTCCGGCGACAGGGGGCTTCAGCGGGCGCCTGGCTTCCCTGGGAGCCGACGGAGGTGACTCGGAGTCCGGAGCCGGCTCGGAGGAAGCAGCCGTGGGCTGCTGCAGCGACACGTTCAGCAGTCTGCCCGACATGGAGCAAGAGACTCTGGAGGAGAAATTAAGAGGACTTGCGTTCAGAAAACAGACCTCGTATCGGTGAGTGGAGAGCTGGGAGGATGCTGGGACAGTATATTAGTCCGGAGGAGGATATGTTGGTGTTTGTGCGTTTATCTCACCGTCAGACGTGTTTAAACAATATCTCCGTTAAATATCGTTCAGCTGAGTTAGTTCCTCAGGTTTATTTTCTACATGTTATAAGCCAATGGTATTGGAAGAATTATGTGTAAGCTAGCTGAAGCTTATGAACACAAACACAGGAGAGGACACAAAGAGAGAGGGGGGGGGGGGGGGGGTCCATTAGAGATTATTTTGCTATTTTGAAAGCCTAAACAGACACGTTGTGGTCTGGTAGCCCTCTGGGCTTGTCCAGGTTATAGACACCATCATGCTGCTGACAGCCTCAACGTGGCATTGATAACACTCAGCATTTAGCCCATGTCAGTGATGGATCACAACAATTTTGCACATACAATAATGTGTGTGTGTGTGTGTGTGTGTGTGTGTGTGTGTGTGTGTGTGTGTTTCCCTGTGTTGTTGTAGCCCTGTTGTTTTGGAGCATGTGAAGTGGGATAGGGGGTGAAACAGTATTGAATTTTGGGCTGTGTGTGTGTGTCTGTGTGGGGTCTCTGGCCAGTTTTCACTATCAACAGCAGCTGCCAGCCGCACCAGGGTGTCAGGCTGCTGCTGGCATTCACACACACATACACACACACACACACACACACACTCACATGGCGGTTTTGGTTGTCAGATGTCACTGTCAGGAATGTGTGGCATCTATCTATTTATCTGTCAATTTTGTCTTTGTTTGCAGCTCTGTCTCTATGTATGTGTCAACCTTTGTGCTGGAAATGATTTGCATTTGGAGGTCAAATCAATCACTTTAATGTGTTTGTGTCTGAATGACTTATTTGAGTCTGATTTGGGCCAAAACAAAGCAACAGTTTATCTACCCAAAATCGGCGAAAGTGTCAAATAGCGATCTATCTGCGGGTCACAGTTCATATTTGTATTTCAGATTTTTGTTTTCACTCTCCGTATTAACCTTAATTAAAAAAATATGTGATTATATAATCAGCTTATATATGTGTCATGTAAACACGTTAGAAACAGAATCAACTGGCCATTTGGAAAGGAAATTCCTCTCATTTGAAAAATGGATGGTACGGTATAATCCTATTACAATCTATTTGACAGATGATAATTTGTCCTGTTGATTATTTCCCATGTTTTGAAGATCCACAGTCTTTTTAAACACCCACTTGTAAGACAAAACACATTACCCAGGGAAGACCCACCGCTCTTTCACTTTTATTATAACATAATTTGCAGAGTCTCTCTTCCTCTGGGTGTTTCCCCCGGGGAAACCATCTCTGGTTAAGTGAGGTTTTCCAGGAGATTGTTCATCATTGGAAGTGCCGCAGCTGGTTTGCCCCCTCCAATTTCATAACTGCAGGAATAGTTTGTTCTGGTAAATCTGCTCCCTCAGTCAAAGAAATAACCCAGCAGTAAATAGGTGATGGGGTGTATTTGGTACATCGTGCACGTCAGAACCCATATCTAATTTATGTACACCTGGAGTACATAATGCAACTGCAGATACACTCAAATCTCCCAGTTTATTGTGGCGAACATGGACTGACACATTCAAATCCAGTCAAATACAAATGGTTGGAAAAGATAAAATGTTCATATTTCTGTATATTGAACATTTTGACTTGGTTTTATTTGTATGAGTCAAGAGTCAATGTTCGAGTCTTATGCTGCATTCAGACCAAATGCGAATTTAATCTTCGCAACGCTTTCCTTCCGGGGGGGCGTCTATCGCTGGACAACTGCCAAGTTTTCACAAACAATAGTGATGTGCAATACCACTAAATTCCTATACGATCCAATACCAAGTAATACCCAGGCTGGTCTTGCAGATACCGCTACCAATATCAATACTTTTTACATTTTATTTCTAGTTTAATGTGACCTCCCTCCTCCCGTTTCTGTATTTATGAGAGAAATAAGGAGTAGGCTGTAGCCTCACCAATTCAAAATAACAGCTGCATAATGACAAGACATCAAACTACTTACTTATTATTTATATTCTTTAATTATAATAAAAATATCCTGCTCAGAACTGCCGCTTCATAACATCATTATTGTGACAGACTTAATCCCAGATGTTTAGCGAAGTTTGCCGTGTTGCTAAAGTATTTCACTGTCTTTGCACACACATCACACAGAGCAACATTATTACCTTCACAGCTAAAACACAGCCAGACGTGACTGTTTTTACAGTCGGCCATAGTCAGTATTCAATCGCGGGAAATGTAAAGGGCTGCTCACTTCAAAGAAACTCTGTCACAGAGCCGTAGCGCAAGCATGACTTGACATGAAAGGCAGAAGGAGAAGTGGTTCCTATCAACTAAGTATAATTAGACCATCCTGGTGACAGTAAGATACACTCACTCCAAATGACTGAGTTTAGATATCGATCCTTTTGTATGAGTATCGATCCTAGAGCAGGATGCTAACTTGTTCACAGTAAAGTACAACGACAGCTTGCTGCCTAGAAGCTTCAGTGAAGATAAATCAACGTTGTAATCCGAAAAACTAAAGTAAAAAGCTAATTTAATAAAAGCAGTTTACTCCGAGCTCCTCCCGCGAGTAAACGGCGTAGTTGTCAGAGCATAATCCAGACAGACTATGGGTGTTTATTTGTCCGAAAACTGAAGCTCTGAAGCCGTCGGTTAAATCCAGATAATCTCAACGCTGATAGGCTATTGCGACTCAGCGTCATGCAACTTTCTCATTCGAGTTGAAAATCTTCAACTCACGCTAAGGCCACACCGCTCGACAGAAAATGGCGGCTGTCTGCGTCCTTGCATTGATTTTGTATGTAAACGCACCGAGCCCAACGCTCACTTCGCTTTTGGTCTGAAAGCACCATTAGATAATCTTAAGAGGCTGCATCTGTCAGGTTGCTTTTGCAGCTGTTTTAACAGCCGTTTGAATGTGTGCAGTAACATACGTAGTTCAACAGTTTGGGGAATATGCTTATTCACTTTAGTTGAGGAGATCAACACCACTCTCAAATCTGTACAGTAAATATGAAGCCAGCAACCAGTTGGCTTATGGTAGCATAAGGACTGGAAGCTCTGTCCAAAGGTAAGAAAAAACAACCTACCAACACCTCTGAAGCTCACTGATACTTTTTATCTAATGTGTTTTAATCAGCAGAAAAACAGTTGTGGTCTTACAGGGAGTTATGTGCTCGACTATTCCTGGAGTCTCCCCTGGATGCCTGGCAACGTCACGGTTACAACACGGCTCTATTTGACGTTTCCCAAAATGTCAAACTATTCCTTTTATGTGCGAACTCCAAGTCAGATCAGCGCAACACAAAGGGGTTTAGTATACCATAAAATAGGGGTGTCACAATACCAAAAATGTAAAATTCAATATGCCAGTAAAGTTCCATGATTCTCTATACCAATTCGATACCACGGTAAAAAACAAAAACAAAACAATAAATCCCATGAACTTCAACATTCATTTGAACATTAAAAAAAAACAACTAACAGCTGTGAACGCCGTGAGAAGATGTCAAGGACAGATGGGAGGTGATGTGAGTCAGTATATTCATAAATGAGCAAGCTATTAAAAGTTGAACCTTGCACTGTGTATAATTAATTATTAAGTTAATTATTACTTTTCAGTCTCACAGGTGTGAAATGTTTAAGGGTGGTCACTATCTCTATTGGCAGTGGTTTGAGATTTCTATGTTGGAAAAACAAAAAAGTTATTGATGATTTAAATGGATCATATTGCACTTAAGGCAGTCCCTAACTCCGCCTGCAGTAACAGGCGCGTTGGACAGACATTCAGTTTTTAACGCTGCAAGCCGCATCGTCATCTTTGGTGATTTTCAGGTGACTTAACACTGAGACACGTCCCAAAACTGGGAAAAATCAAGGCTTTGACATGGAGCTGTTGAAGGTAAAAGCCGCGAAACAGTCACACATTTTCCATACATGACTCTCTTCTTTTTCGACGAGTCGAGTTGGAGCTGTCGGTGCAGCTTGTCACTATCTTCCACTTGTTGGATCTCCGGACACGTTTTCAGAATTTTGGTATCGACTTGGTACTGGTTCTCACTACCATCACTACCACAAAAATATTTTATTAGTATTAATAGTGACCAGACAAGATTGGAAGGATATGTTCCACCCATGTCACCCTCTGCTCTGGAGCTGTTTTCAGTCTTTTTCATGTGCTGCAAACGGTCTCATAGGAATCCCCGGTTGGATTAATTGCATTTGGAAAGAGAACATTTGGCTCATGTAACTGCAGCTGTTGTTTGCTATTGTCCACGACAATGTAATTTGGTGAAAGAAGAACATTTTACTATCAATGAATATGTGCTTTGTATACTGCATATGCGGTGAATTTACCAGAACACCACCACTTGTTTTTAATTTAGTTTAGTTTGACGTACTCACCATTCGAGACAGTAGACAGAGACTTTATTCTTGACTACAATGGACATTTGTGTTTGTTTTTAATCCACCACAGTATGTTAATTGTATGGTAGGACTGGATGCATGCTGTCTGGTACCATGTATGCCAAATAAAACAAATCTGTCTGTGTCTTAGGGGCACCCAGGAGTGTCAATTACTCGCCATGTCTTGGCGTTGTGTTGACCTTTGGCCTTATTGGATAAAGCTATGGATAATCTGTGAATTTTCCTCCTTGTGGAATCAGCCATGTGGAGGAAATGGCATTAGCCGGTCAGGGGAGATGGTTTGTTAGAAGGTAGTTTACATAGCTTTGAAGTGGCCAGTGCCAAGAAGTGAATTACCATATGTGGCAATATGAAAGAGCTGAGAAATGATGCTGTTGAACATCAAAGACAGTGCATGTGTGTGAGGTTGTGGTTTTATGTGTTTATGGCAGCATAAGCGAGCGTAAGGCACGCGTAACTTATCTGCCAGATACTCGTCACATTTGTGTGTGTGTGTGTTCCCAGAATACTGTCCCTGCT